AGTGTGGTGAAAGGATACAACCCTGATGCACACCTTTTCTGACTTTAAACCATGCAGTATCTCCTTGTTCTGTTCAAATGACTGCCTCTTGATCTATGTACAGGTTCCTTATGAGCACAATTAAACGTTCTGAAATTCCCATTCTTCACAGTGTTATTCATAATTTGTTTTGATCCACACAGTCGAATGCCTTTGCATAGTCAATAAAACACAGGTAAACATCTTTCTGGTATTCTCTGCTTTCAGCCAAGATCCACCTGACATTAGCAATGATATCCCTCATTCTCATCCTCTTCTGAATCTGGCAGTTCCCTGTTGATGTACTGCTGCAGCCCCTTTTGAATGATCTTCGGTAAAATTTTACTTGTGTGTGATATTAATCATATTGTTCGACAATTTCCGCATTCTGTTGGATCACCTTTCTTTGGAATGGGCACAAATATGGGTCTCTTCCAGTCGGTTGGCCAGGTAGCTGTCTTCCAAATTTCTTGTCATAGACAAGTGAGCACCTCCAGTGCTGCATCGGTTTGATGAGACATCTCAACTGGTATTCTGTCAATTCCTGGAGCCTTGTTTTTTGCCATTGCCCTCAATGCAGCTTAGACTTCTTGCAGTACCATTGGTTCTTGATCATATGCTACCTCCTGAAATGGCTGAAAGTTGGCCAGTTTTTTTTGGTACAGTGACTCTGTGTATGTCTTCCATCTTCTTTTAATGCTGCCTGTGTCATTCAATGTTTTTCCTGTAGAATTCTTCAATATTGCAACTCAAGGCTTGAATTTTTTCTTCAGTTCTTTCACTTTGAGAAATGCTGAGCATGTTCTTTCCTTTTAGCTTTCTAACTCCAGGTCTTTGCACATTTCCTTATAATACTTTACTTTGTCTTCTCTACCCTTCTCTAATCTTCAGTTCAGCTCTTTTACTTCATCATTTCTTCTATTCTCTTTAGCTACTCTATATTCAAGAGCAAGTTTCAGAGTCTCTTCTGACATCCATTTTGATCTTTTCTTTCTTTCCTGTCTCTGTAATGATCTTTTGCTTTCTTTGTGTATCATGTCTTTGATGTCATTCCATAACTTGTCTGGTCTTTGATCACTAGTGTTCAGTGTGTCAAATATATTCTTGAGATGGTCTTTAAATTCAGGTGGGATATACTCAAGGTCGTATTTTGGCTCTTGTGGACCTGCTTTAATTTTATTAAGCTTCAACTTGAACTTGCATATGAGTATTGATAGTCTGTTTCGCAGTAGGCACCTGGCCTTGTTCTGACTGATGATATTGAGCTTCTCTATCGTCTCTTTCCACAGATGTAGTCAATTTGATTCCTGTGTATTCTGTCTGGTGAGGTCCACATGTATAGTCGCCGATTATGTTGTTGAAATAAGATATTTCCAATGAAGAAGTTGTTGGTCTTGCAAAATTCTATCATAAAACGATCTCCGGCGTCGTTTCTATCACCAAGGCCATATTTTGCAACTACTGATCTTTCTTTGTTTCCAACTTTCGCATTCCAATCACCAGTAACTAACAACACATCTTGATTGCATGTTTGATCAATTTCAGACTGCAGAAGTTGGTAAAAATTTCAATTTCCTCATCTTTGGCGTTAGTGATTGGTGCGTAAATTTGAGTAATAGTCGTATTTTGTTGTAGGCGTATGGCTATTATCCTCTCTCTAACAGCGCTGTACTTCAGGATCTTGAAATTTTCTTTCTGATGATGAACACGACACCTTTCCTCCTCAATTTGTAATTCCCGGCATAATAGACCCTATGATTGTCCAATTCAAAATGGCCAACAACAGTCCATTTCAGCTCATTAATGCCTAGGATATCCATCTTTATGCATTCCATTTCATTTTTGACAACTTCCAGTTTTCCTAGGTTCATACTTCGTACATTCCACATTCTAATTATTGATGAATATTTGGAGCTGTTTTTGTCTCATTTTGAGTCATGCCACATCAGCAAATGAAGGTCCTGAAAGCTTGACTTGATCCACATCATTAAGGTGGACTCTACTTTGAGGAGGCGGCTCTTCCCCAGTCACATTTTGAGTGTCTTCCAACCTGAGGGGCTCATCTTCAGCACTGTATCAGACAATGTTCTGCTGCTATTCATAAGTTTTTCACTAGCCAATTTTTTTAGAAGGAGACCATCAGTTCCTTCTTCCTAGTCTGTCTTAGTCTGAAAGCTCCACTGAAACCTGCCCACCATGAGTGACCCCGCTGGTATTTGAAATACTGGTGGCATAGCTTCCAGCATCACAGCAACATGCAAGCCCCCACAGTAAGACAAACTGACAGACGTGTAGGGACTAGTTTCCTAGGGCTGTCATAACAAAGTACCACAAACTTGGGTGGCCCAAAACAAAAGAAATTTATTCTGTTACAGTTCTGAAAGGTCAAAATCAAGGTGTCGGCAGGGCCATGCTCTCTGAAAGGCTCTAGGGGAAGATCCTTCCTTGTTTCTTCCAGCTTCTAGTAGCCTCAGGTGTTCCTTAGCTTGTGGTAACATAACTCCAGTCTCTGCCTCCATCATCATATGGCATCGTCTTCCCTCTGTCTCTGTCTGTCTTTATAAGGACACCTGTCATATTGGATTAGGGCCAACTCTACTCCAGTATGACCTCACATTTACTTAATTCCATCTGGAAAGATCCTTTTTCCAAATACGTTTACATTCACAAATACCAGGGGTTAGGACTTGAACATTTTTTGGGGGGAACACCATTCAACCCATAACAAGTTCCTTTCCTCTCTGATCCCTTTGATCACCGTTGGATCTTCGTGAGGGCAATATTGGTTTATGCTTCTACAGTCACAGAGGGGCAGGGGCTCAGGTAGGAGGGAGAAGATCTGATGAAGAAAGTTCAGCAAGAGGAGAAAGTGTTCTGTTTCTGCCCCTTTGACTTGTCCTAGTTTTCCCAACATGAGCTTGCTCCACCCTCCTGAGGAGGCTCATGAAGTCCCTGAAGAGTGTCATGATCAACACTTGCACAAAGTCAACCTGAATTCAGATAAAGGCCCCAAAGAAAGGGTCAGCATTTTTGCAACCCACGCTCCCACCCCACCACTTACAGGGCTGGCCAGCAGGGCAGCTCTTACAGTGCTGTTGAGGAGCTCTGGAAGGATTTGGAGCATAATAACCATAATAATTGGTAATAAGTGAATCCGAGGATCCCCTCTTTGCTCCCCTGTGCCTTTCCATGGGGACATGAGCAAGGCAGGGATTAAATCTCTGCTGCTCCCCAGCAAGTCCCAGCACTGTTTCTGTTTAAATGTGACAGGTCTTCACACTCTGTTTAAACAAAAACATCTAGCAGAGTCATAGATTTGTGTTACCTCTGTACATGTGGAAGACAAAGAGAGTATTTATCTTTCTGAAACCAAGGTGTTAATTTAAATATTATTACCAGTGCTTCGAGTTAGCCAGTAAGGTGACCGACCAGGCAGAATGACAGCGATTGGAAGGTTGAAGGTTTTCTTCACAGGATATAAACACCACCTTGAAGTCCAGGCGTCTCATGGGTCTCCCTCATTAACCAATGGCATCAACTAGAGCTCCCTTTACCATGTCTGCCTCCTACCTGAGCCCCTGCCCTTCCACAACTGTGGCAGAATACATTGACATTGTCATCAGGAGCACTGGCTTTGGGGTCTCAGGCCTGGATTTGAATCCTTTCTCTGAGTGACCTTGGGAAGGTGACTCTCCTCTCAGGGTCTCGATTCCCTCTTAAGTGTAAGTGTCTAAAATGGGGGTGTTAATAGCACCCCCCTCATGTGACCACAGTGAGGTCAGACTTGTCAAGTGCTCAGCACAGGGCTGGACCTAGAGCTTGAAGAGGTGAGATAGGCCCTGTTATGGAATGAATTGTGTCCCCCAAAAATATGTGTTGAATTCCTAGCCCTTGTACCTGAGGATGTGATCCTGTTTGGAAATAGGGTTTTTCTTTCTGTTATGTTAATGAGGGTATACCAGTGTAGGGTGGATCATAAACCTAATCACTTCTGAGTTATAAACAGACCAGAACAGACACAGAGACACATACATGGGGGAAGACAGACACCATGTGAAGATTGTCTACAAGCCAAGGAATGCCAAGGAACGAAGGAATGCCCAGGGCTGCTGACAAGGAAGGAATTGACATGGCTGAGACCCTGATTTGAACTTCTAGCCTCCAGAACTGTTACGTTCTTTAAAGCCTCTCATTTGTGGTATTTGTGTTAGAGCAGCACTAGGTAACTAAGACAGGCCCTGACTCTCACTTCTGTCATCTGCCCCTCTGACTCTCCTACAATGACTAGGCACTGCCCAGAAGGCTTCTGCACAGCGGGGGAATGTGGCACCCAATGTCCAGCCATCTTGTACTCTTTGCTTCTGAACATCCACTGTGATTTTTTGTTCTCTTTGACTAGTATCCAGCTGGAGGAACAGAACCCATTTTCTCTTCACTGGCTACCTCCCCAGACCACAGTTAGAATACAGAGGTCGCTACCCAGGACATGGGGGGTAGCTGGGTTCCACTGGCTCCAGAGGAGGCCACCACCTACCCTGGAAGACATGCCTATGTAAAGCCCAGCTCCGCTCTCTGGCTGCCACCACCACCCGACCCACCCTTTGGGGCCAGAGCCCAGCCTGTCAGGAGCGAGCAGCCTGGTGTGGAGGGAGGAGGGCAGGCTTTGAGGTGACCCACGCCAGAATCCCAGTGTTGGGTCTGCCATGTAACATCTCCAAACCTGTTCCCTCCTCTCCAAAATGAGAATATCGACCTCCTGGGAGCTTGGAAGGTTGATGGAGATCCTGGGTATAGAGTGTTCACCCCGGTTCCTGGTGCTGTAAAGATAAATAACTGCCCCGCCTTCCTTCGACTGAGTCTTTGGAGCAAAGAAAAACACCAAACACAGAAGGATGAGGCTTTATTCAGGAAAAGCATGTGAGGGGAGGTGGTCCCTGGGGTCTCCACCCTTATGACCTCTTGGGGTCAAGTCTCATGGGACATTAGAAGCCAATGACTATGGGCATCTGAGCCTCCTCGGAGTCACCCATGGGGGGCACAGGGGCAGCCTCAGAGTCACCTGTCGGGGAGGTGGGGGCCACCTCAGAGTCACCCGTGGGGGGCACAGGGGTAGCCTCAGAGTCACCTGTCGGGGAGGTGG